CAGGAAATTATACCACAGGATTTGTTCTCCTGCACAGAGAAGCCATCTATCTTTGGAGCCGCAGCTTTTGACATTAATCCACTGTTACGTTCCCTAGAATCTACTTAAGCTCCACTGCTTTCCCCAAAAGTTCACAAATGGCTGATCCCAATGCCATCTGCAAAGTTATCTTCCAAGGAGTAAATGTGCCCTGAGTTTCATCATCTTTCAGAGGTATCTGTAGGAACAGCTATTGCAATACAAACTGTCCAACCGGTAACTGGCTAAATAAAGATTTGCTACAGGTCAACCAGAGAGATCCTGTCATCCATAATCAGGACTTAACCTTATAGAAAGATTACGAAGATTAAAAGCATTCCTTTCCCAAAAATCTGCAGCACAGCTCCTCAGAATTTTACAGCTGGAAGAAATGAATGTGTTTTTTCAGGGAGAGGAGGCACGTGTATATTGTCACATTATAAGGGGTGAGAAAGAAAAAAAGAAAGCATCCATATTACTCAATTAAAAACAGTACAGTTGCAAGTGATTTAAAAGGAAAGCTTAACTGATTATAGAGAAGTATCAAACAGCTGAGAATGTAGTATTTTCAAATGTATTATCTACATTTTAAATGTAAAGAAATTCTCAACATTTGCATATAACAGTTGGTTTTCTCAGATTTTCTTAAATTCTAAGTTGCTATGTTAATCTCTGGAAGAAATACAGAAACAGCATTGCACAAGATTTATTTACTCGCTAAGTGTTAAACACAGCTGCACTTTTGCCATGTAATATCAACATAGCTTGTTTTTTCAGACCATTACAGTACCCCACAGGAAGACGACAACTCAGATATTCACATTACGCTCAGTAAAATTAAATCACTGCTCTTTGGTTTCATTAGTCAAAGATGATGGACCGCCATTCCAATGCAAATGATACAGTTAGCCTCTGCTGTTCCCTTTTTGAACCAATACTACAGTATCAGTCTTTGGAGAAAGCAGGTCAACAGTCACTGCAGGAGGATGCAGTTGTGCATCATCCTACAATGATAATGGGCAAACATACATACTGCACATACCTCACCCAGTGTCAAAAATGGAAGACACTTTAGCATTCTACTCAATAGATAACTGTACAGCAAACATGAGATGGATATATCATCTCTCAGTGCTTGAGGAAGAAATAAAGGCACATTAATCACAGAAGCACGGGACTGGGAAAGCTAACATAGAGGGAATACACAACTATGCATTAAGCTTCATCTTAAGCACTCCCTCCCCTCTGTAGAATTGAGCAGTGTTCATATAACTTGACTTAAAAGCCAAACTCCAAAGGACTGGCAAACTGAAATACTTCAGAGAGGAGTTTGCTAAAAATAGTTATTTCTTTACTGCTATTTGAACATTTCACAAGGTTACAATCATCAGCAAGAAACCACATGAACAATGCTAATTTAATAAATCATTGCAACAATAATCCCCTTATGCTACCATTTCAAAAAGCCCTGGGGCAGTGAAGGACAAGAACATAGTTCATTTTATACCCTCATCAGCAACCATGAGGCTGAAAACATGGCAACTTCTCCATGCAGCAGAACTTACTTTTCCAGATAATCTTCTTCCAAACTTCTCTCTTTTTGAAAACATGGAGAAATCTACCTTCTCCGATACTTTGAAAAAACAATAGTAATAACCTAACTCTTTTAAACTTCTGCATTAGGTTCCTTTGCCTTTAACTGATTATATTCTTACAGCAACCTACCTTCACGTTTTGAACCTCAATAGCCAGGATTTCCCTTTGACACATATTAGTTGATATTACAGTGAACAATTAAAGAGTCATTTCCCCATTTTACCAGTCAAATAGACTTGCTTTAGATGTCTGCACACAGGTCAGATTGTATGAAATTACAGAGAATTCAGTAGGTAGGTTCAAAATTGTTTAAGCCCGCAAAGCCAATGACTTATGACTCATCATAATTCAGCTTACAAAGGCATTGAACATTTATATATGCTACTTATCCATTACACATTTAAGCATCTGAGCAATAACTTGTTAAAAGAAACAAACTACTGATGTGCAGGTGCCATGCTAACTTTTATAAAAGCCAAATTAAGACAGATGAAACAAATGCTCCCAGCATCAACTTTTCTTTAAAAAACAAACATGCAATACCTGTTTTAGCTTCATATAAAAAGTTTCTGTGAAGGTTTTTCTGCTGAAGTACCAGAAGCGTTCATTGGCAGGATACACACGCACAACAGTCTCCAGCAAAAACCGGACTGGCTCTACTACTTCAGTAACAACCATATCCACTGCCACAGTCATGAATACACGCTTATCTAAAACACAAAAATAAGTCCCATATGGAAAAATTGTTCAAAGTTCAAATTTCTCAAAACAATAAATGACAGAAGTAATCTGTTGTTCAAATTGAAAACCCTTTCTATATAATTATTGATTCTATTGCACCCATTTATCTGAGTTCTACACCCTACATGCCTGCTGCATAGAATGACAGTATGTATTAAACAGTGTACTAAGTAACTGATAACTTTTTAAAACAAAGACAATATGTCTTTGTTTTAAAGACAGAAGCAAAACATCATGCAAAGAAGACAGCATTAAGATACATGATCCCTATCAGACAAAAGGAACGTGCACAGGATAAGGTTACATTTTAAAGTATGAACTTACTGCTGAGGGAATACATATATGTATAGCAAATCAGTGTCAAGGATCTCCTATAGCATTGTTTGTCGTAAATCCTCTCATAACACTAAGAAACGCTTCAGATAATTTTTTATGTCCGTGCTCGTATTCTGTCAGTTACAAGGACTCAAAATGTTTTACCCTTCCCCATCCCACTCTGGGTCAGACAGTCCTCAGAGCAGAAAAACATATTTTTAAAGCAAAGCATGGATGAGTAATCTTAATCTGTGATAGCTCCATCTTCCTGATACTGAAGCATAACTCCAACGTTTTCAAATAGAGAAGAATGCAGGATCAACTAACCAGAGGATGACACTGAAATAGTCCAAGTGTATCTTGCAGGTTTACAGTGCAAGAAAATGTTTGCTGCTTCTGGAAACATTCACCACAGAGAGAGGTAGTAACCATCACATTGTATCACAACTGATACCTTTCTTGCAGGAAGCGCAGATTTTTTAAAATAAATATTTAGAACTGGACATTACGGATCCCTAGGTTCCCTTGTCTTATCAGACCAAAAAGGCAAGTGGGCATTTTAAAAAAAAAAAAAGAACCACCAACAAAACTACCACAAAACCAAAACACACCACACACACACAAAGTCATATCATAAAATGGCAACTGTGTCAATCTGCACAGCAAGAGTTTTGCCTATAGCTACTAGAAATATTGTGGTTTGAAAATCCAGCAGCGGTAACAGTGATAGTGGCTGTATATACTTGGATATGCCCTTAAGCAACTGATGTGAGCTCTGCCATGGGATAGGAAACAAACTCCAGATTTGCATTCAAACCTTTTGCATCACATCAGAGATCATCAATTCTAACAATAAGAAATGGTGCTATGTAATCAAGCACTTCAATGCATCACTTCCAGCTGCACCAAGATGAAGGGGATGTAATGCTATTTGTAATCAACTCACCTCGAAACGAAAAGAAAGAGAATAGCAATGCCTACAATTTATACTGCTTTGCTGAGTACAGAAGGTGGAAAACAACTTCTGCATGCTTAGGATAAGAAAGTCCTGATAACCAGGTAACAGGCACATAAGCCCCAAACCCTAATTTAATGTCTCCAAATCAGCACCACACAGCTCTATGAACAATTATTCACATTTCCATGTTGCATATGCTTATACAGAAAAGTTCCTAGCCACGGACTCTTGGAACATAATGGTATACGTAATCAGACATAGGCACCATGATTCCCAGGAGAAGATACATACACCCAACCCATGTCAGGTAAAGCAAATACACAAATTAGATTAAATTACCTTTAGGAGTTTCCTCATTAAGTACTAGAAACATTGGTGCATTAGGATTCCACATTCCAGTAATTACGTAAGCCTTCTCTCTTTCCCTTGGACTCCTAAAAATAAAAACATACAGGATTCTATTAGAGTCATGGTTTGAGATCAAAGAGATTAAGCATGGGGAGGGGAAATAGTTCCAGGAACTTCAGAGTAAGATTGTGTTCACTCTAGAGAACACAATCTAAATAAATATGAAATAATAGATTGAGAAAGGCTCTAGGGAAATGGAAGAGAAAGAAGAAACATTAGAAGAGAAGAAACATTATATAAGAAACTGAAGACAAGATAATTTATCAACTTTTTTTTTAATGCTTATTGTAAGCATGAAAGCATGGTGGGATGTCTGCCACTCTACTTTCTGAGCAGCTGAGGTGGTTGCTAGGAGAGGATGAGTTACAACAGACTTCATAAAATTAAACTAGCCCCCCAGTATACACAGAAATGAGCCGGGGGTGGGGACAACAAAAACAAACTTAATAGAGCAAGAACTTAAAAACTCCAACCCAAAGGTCAATCTGATTTTTCCCAATCCATAATTATACCTCTGCCAGATTTCTCCCTGGGTTGCTCAGGCATGGACTTACATTTGTAAGTATGCCAATGGACTGGAATTCCAGTCCATAGGAATTTTAGATTTAAAGAGCTAAATTTCAGGACAATATGCAAATAAACTTTATCATATGTGGCTGTTTTGACTTAATACTAACAGCAATGCCCCTATATCTGGTTAAAATAATCTTATGCTATACATCTGTTACTTCTACAAATATTTCTTACAGACCTGCTAGGAATAATCAGAGTACATGACCTGCACATATGAGCTATTACTAGTATGAGGCAAATACATGCTTCCTGAAGTTTTCTGGGACAGTTCCTATGGATTCAACAGGCCCGTACAGTAGCCTCTTTAGAGATGAAAGACGACTGACATTCCTACTCTGCAATCCAATTTGTGGTAGACCAGTAAGAGTGACAGAGTTCTCCAGATTTGAATAGGGAGAAAGGGAGTTGAAAGGAAAACACAAATGTATATGTATATGATATAGCCAAGAAATGAACTAATAAGCCGTTACATCCAGCAGTTAAATGTACTTGGAATGTAAATGTAAATAGAATTATAGGTGAAGTAAAGACAGGAATTCAAATATACAGTCCACACATATTATATAGATTTATAGAAGCCAATTCATTATGCTCCATAACTCACTATCATTTATTCAATTTTCTAATCAAATAATAAAAATGGAAAAGCAGAACTAATGTCAGCAAATAAAACCAGAAAAAATGAGCTAGTAGATACAAACAGGCAAATAAAAGAGTCTGACAAGAGAACGAAATACTGATAGCTAGAATCATCAACATGAGTAAAGAAATGGACTAGGCAAAACAGGGATAACTGTACGGCCACAAAATCTCTGATTGGTTTACTCAAGCACTTCTTGACTTGAAAGTGGTTGTATTCTTATCCACACCGTGAAAGTAAACTGGTATTATCACAGAAAGTATCATATTATTTTGTAGTTCTCTTAGAAGCACTCATAAGAAATAAAGATTGTAGAAGACAAGTGAGTACTTCAAACTCTGAGCAAGAATTTAAATTCAAATGAGGCAAATAAAGGCAAAGTTTTCAGTGTCTTGGAAAAATAAGACCACTTCTCCAACGCCCTAATATAAAAATAATTATTTGCTCTAAATTTTTAGGCAACATGCTTAATACAATACAGAAAGCTTAGTTATTTGTAACAACCAGCTGTCAGCTGACCTAATCAGTGCTTCACCAGTTCAACAAAAAACAGATGCCACAGGTTTTTACATTAATTGAAATGTTTTGTCCATCGTATGTAAGAAGTTTGTTTCTAGTTTGAAGATATAAACCCCAGAATTTAAGAAACAAAAAGCAAACAAAACCAAACAGATGAGAGGTTTGTTTTGTTGGATTTTGTTTGTTTGTTTGTTTGTTTTTAAATTACCTCTATCTTACTAAGCAGGTTATCAGAGCTAAATATTACCATGTCTAGTAAATGCATGTCACTGTTCTTCACATTTCGTCCAGGGCTTAGTAGCATCCCAAAGCATCTGTGAAGTTTATTTAAAAAAAAAAAAAAAAAAAAAAGAAAAAAGAAAAGAAAGAAAAGATAGAAATTAGCTTTTCAAAATACAAAAGTATTTTCTTGAACATAATGGCACAGCCACCTACTGCTTCTAATTTAAAGAAAACCTTTCTTAGTAATTTTTTGTTAGTGTTATGGCAACGCTCAGGAAACATCACAATATATATTATAGAAATGACAATGAAATTATTTTCCAGAATGAAGATGACAGAAATTAGTGTCTGACCTGTGAACAATCAATTATTCTTAAAGACAACTTAGAATATTGAGCTTAAAGATACCAGCAATTCCTAGACATTAGTGATGGAGATTGGCAAGAAGAAATTCACTCTCCCCAGTCTACTTTAAAAATTATTTTCATACAATCACATGAAAAGTTACAAATTCACACATTCTATCACCCATAATGTCACTGGTGTAAAACATCATGTAGCATCATAGGCCTTTAAAAAAATAATAATTTGCTCAATTTTTAGACTTTCATTCTTTATTTTTTTAAAACTGAACTTCTGTATTGTACAGGGCCCTGAATTCCAGAATTCCAGTCCAGACGTTACACAAGAGAATGTTCCTGATATTTTTAAGAGTAAAAAAAAAAAAAAAAAATTCCAAAACATTCTTAAAACACTCAGACTTTCGAACTTTCTGAATATTGAAGGCACTCCTCAAAAGAGGACCAACTTGAATCAGGTTGCCCAGGACCTTGTCGAGTCAAGTTCTGAGCACCTCCGAGAACAGAAAATTACCTTTTTTGGCAACCTGTTCCAACGCTCAGCTCCCTTTCTATTGACAACAACTGGCTTCATGCAACAGCGCAATTTCCAGGGAAGTAACTTGTGTCCACTGACTCTAATGCTACCACTCTGCGTCTCCAAGAAGAGCTTGGCTCCATCTCCTCCATACCCTCCCACCAGGTATTTGCATGCACCAGGAAGAGCCCCCCATCCCCACCTTCTCTAAATCTGAACAAAAGCAGTTCTGTCACATGGGCAACCCACTTATCCAAATGAAAATTTCAATTTTTCAGCAAACGTAAATTGTAAGAGATCATTTGAACATTCATAGGTTAGCAATGAAGACAGAACAGTTTCACAGCTTTCAGGCAAGCACACTGCATCATGAACAGAGATATAATAGCAACTGTTATTTCAATAATGCTATTAACTGTAAAAGTCTTAAGATTGCAATTACTACACCATCTAGTAAGTTTGTCCCCATTACATTTGGGTATATGATTTTCATTTTCCACTTCATTACGCTTAAACAGTAACTTACATCCACAATTGTATTTTTTCTTCTCCATATTCTTTCACTACTAGAATCTTAAAAATCAAAGTGGTAAATAAAACAGTAGACAATTTTGATTTATCTATATGGCATAATGCAGTAAAGTAACCAAGGTAGCTAGGATGCTAGGACTTAACATTTAACCACACAAGCAGGCTTCTCTCTGAGACTAATTAGACCAGGCAGAACGTTACAGTAGACTGACTTACTACTTTTTGCTCCTGAGGCAGAAATAATTCTGAGAGGGCTATAATTTATGATAGTAGAGTGCTCACTAGCTTCTGGTACACCTGCTAACCAAACCCATAAGGCTAAGATTCAGAGGCAGACAAAATATCTGTGCTTTTCAAAGACAACAGCTTACAGATCCTAGCTCTTGCTGTGCTCCTCTCAGATGTACAGAAGTTTTCATGTGCGCCAGCCAAAATTTTTGGGCAGTATGCTTCCAAAAGAGTGGGAGTCAGGAACAAGTAACCCCTGCCTCTCACAGAAGCAGATACTTATGATGACTGGCTGCATCCTACTACTAGAAGAGTCAGGGCTTCTCTTCCCACTAAGTTCAAAGAGCAAAATGAGTTCAAATCAGTTCAAGACCCTCACTTGCAGAGGAGCTAGATTTTACGCAAACAGTTGTCAACAGGTTCAGCCTCTGATTTGAGGAGGCTGAACCACACACCCAGGATTCAAAATGACCTGCACAGACTGTGGGCCTCAGTCTGTCTTTCCACTTCTGACATGTTGGGTTTTCTGCACTTAGAGCTGGCTATATGCAGGTGCACTACTCTGTTTAAATTCAACTAGTTTCTAGACCTGTAAAAAAAGAACTGAAATTATTCTTCACTAATATATATTTCCATTTATATAAATACAAATGCTACCCACAGATAAGGCTTATGGTATTAAGTTAACATGGAAACATGATCTTTAAGAGTCTCCAGTACTACTGAGCAACCAACCAATATTCTGTATATCAGTTCTAAGGACACCAGTCTACTTTAACCTAAGCTATACCTACGTAACTTGGTATAAACTCTCCTGTATGACTGCTAACATACTATATTTTAACACCACTGTATTGAGAACAGAGTCAAGCCTCTTATTTCTCACAACGAAAGGCTATTTCACTCTTCAGAACAACTTTCTTAAAGTCCCTTGATCATTAACCAGAATTTTCTTTTTGAATCCTGTAAACAACTGAGTCTTGATATCCCACATTGTGGGACTGAACCTATGTAGTGCCACACGACTCAAACCTGGGCGACAGGAATGAACATAATTCCTTTACCTGCTATGACCTAGATAAAAACAGGCAAAATGCAGGTCAAACAGGCCACAAAGGCAGGAAGGGACAAAGTAACTCAACTGAGAGTAACCTACTTGTCAACCTAACCCAGCCATAGGCCCTATCTGAACACCAGGAGGTGGCAAGTTTCTCTGAGTGATACCAGGTTTACTCTTCTGAGACCATGAAGAAAGATTCTTGAAGTCTTTAGACCAGAGACCAAACTTCTTTAACAGCAACATTTTTTTGCATTATAATTTCCACTTAGAAATACTTTTTGAAGACACATTAAATTGCTTAGAAGATCACTGTCTGATGTAACCTGAATTGATCTTTTACACTGGTTTTGAATTTTATTATTATGCAGTGTAAATACATAAAATGACTTGCAAACCTGTGTATGTCATGTCAATTAAATAACTTTTTATCGGCAAACCTTGTGGTGATAAAAATAACATCCTAATTGAATATCCTAAACAGCATCAAAATAAAAGCTGATTTCCAAGGAAGGTAGCTTTACTTGGGGGGGGGGTGGGCCGGAGACAACACACGACACACATGGCAGAACCAACAACCAAATGCTATTCAGAAAGGCTGAAAGGAGTTCATCATTCATTAACTGAATTCTGAAGCCAAAATTATTTAAATTAAAAATACATTGAAAACAGGATATATTTTTAAAAGCCAATGGGTAGCAAAAGCACAATTTTACAACACAAAAGAACGACATAAAACATTCTACTGTATATTGTCTAAAATTTTAGGTTTTAGTTTCATTTTTTAAATAAGAGCTTGAAAGCAAGTGAAGAAATCAGTCTTAGGTTCAGGGAGGGTTGTGAGGCTTTTTTCTTGATTCTCCTGTTATCCTGAATTCCCTGTTCACTAAAATTGAATTCTCCTATTGTTACTCTTTTGATAACATTGCCATCTGGTGGCGTTTGCTATTTTTAAAAATTGAGCTATTGAGAAGGAATTTTCTAATTTAAATTAATACGATACCTACTGCTACTGTAGTAACAAGAGTTAATGTGTGACTGTACACGTTAACTAACTGTTATTCTTCACATGCACGGTCCACTTTTTGTGCAAATGCTTTGCACAAAAGGTCAGATTATTCTGTTCAAAAGGGATCCCTCTCGTGTAATTTCCAGGAAATAAAACATGAGTCATCAACCATTCCTGAGCTCTTCACCATCTCTTCAAGATAAACATTAGGACTATATGATAACAAAACTACAAAGGAATCCTACTCTTCTTGAAGACTCCACGAAAAGATTGCATCTTCTAACCAGCAGGTTGAGTCCAAACTCATGTTTGAAATGTAGTGTTCCAGTACATTGATCTAACAAATTAATGTTCTCCAAGGTTTAACATAGCTCAGATAACCTAACCTGGTTACTTTTACTAAACAGCGAGATGCTGGTTATGCAGGATTACAATAAATGCATGTTTTGCACTACTTAAAAACAACAGAAGGCAAAATCAAAAGCATTTGTATGTCATAACTATCCTAACACCACATTCAAAAAGACAATTAAAAGGCAAAAAAGCCAAGAATGTTTGAGGATTACAGACTATGTCTCCTGTTTTCACCAAAAAAAAAAAAAAAAAAAAAAATCACACAGACACTTCAAAAGAAATTTATAACTCAACTGCACACCTATAAATTAATTATATTGTGCAATAATACTTTCTGTGTTATTGTTCTATTTGTTTCTGTCACATAACTCGCAAAGCGAGGGAAAAGTACATTAAATACTGTTCTCTCAAAAGCTTAACCTGCATTATTTTTATAAGAATCTTACCTTTCAATGGCCAGTTCTTTATTTGAGACTTGCTGAAATACTGTTCTCTCAAAAACTTAACCTGCATTATTTTTATAAGAATCTTACCTTTCAATGGCCAGTTCTTTGTTCGAGAGTTGCTGAACTGTAATCACCACTTTCTTCTCAATTCCCTGTTTAAGCTTGAAATATAATTTCTCTCTATCCTTTGGCACAGGGCTAAAAGAATAAAGAAACAAGTTTCTTTAGCATACGTACAGAAGATTAACTGTTAAATACAGAAAAGAGAGTAGCAGCCCACTTAAAATGTTAATGGTTCAACTCATTTCAGAGACCTTCTCTTCCTTTATTCACAGGTTAATAAACTGGCACTGAAGAAAAAACAGACTATAGGCTCACACTTAGTACGCTGTCTCCAGGATTTATCAGACAAATGTATGCAAAACTGCATGGGGTATTTTAGGTTCTAAAATGACAGAAAATGCGCTATATACTGGCTATGAAGCAAAAAACATTTTCACAGAATTAACTCTTATTATCAACTCTCTCTTCCATTCCAAAAAATCTTGTAATTAGCTGTTAGGCAAAGAATACTTTGCTCCCCTGTCCCCTGTAATGCTTAGAGAAGTTTAAATTTTCTAAACCTTCAATAACTTTGGAATTCATTAACTTATTTTAAAAAAAAAAAAAAAAAAATCAAAAAAAAATAACTACTAGACTGTATTTACTCAAAAAAATTGGTTTGACTGAGTTTTTAACAGACTTTCATTAACTTATTTTAAAAAAAAAAAAAAAAAAATCAAAAAAAGATGACTACTAGACTGTATTTACTCAAGAAAATTGGTTTGACTGAAGTTTTTAACAGACTTCCTGCTATCTTTTCCATTTACATAGGCCTACCTTGAGCATCCCTACCAGAAATCATCTATTTAAAAGAAACTAATTTGAAAAAGGTATCCTGATTTTTAATCTTTTTACAGAAAGGATACAGAGAGAAAATTGTAAAAGCAAAGCAACAGCTTCCTTTTTATAAAAAGTCTACTTATGAAAAGAAGCCAAATCAATTTTACTGCAACATAGTAGCTGTACGTTCTGCAAATAGCTATATACTTTTTTCAAAGAGATTTCTACTTTTCCCTTTCCATTCAGATTACCTAAAATTTCCTTTTCCATCATCTTCTTTGACTTCTAAGGAAACACTGAAAGTGTACACATCACTATCTGGAGTAGGAAGAACAAAGTCCTTAACATGATCAGATGCTTGTTTGGAAGAACGTTTGAATGCTGTTGAGAAACTATACAAAATTCGGCTGACCTGCAGAAAAGCAAAAGAATTAATAGTTTTATCAAAAATTAAAGAGTCTTTTTAATGGGGTATTGTGATGTGGTTTTGAAGGTCATAAAATTACTGTCACTTGCCTCTTATACTGAACACAATGCATGCCTCATATAGCACGAAACATTCAGATCAGGTGTTTAAAATCCAAGCAAGTTTGGCAACAACATCTCTTATTTCCATTTGTGTCACATTCACTGTTCATGTAACGCTCAGTAAGTTAATATATGTTACAAGATTAGGAATGCAACTCATTAGAGGACCTGAATAATGTACTTCCCTGGTTGTGTATTTAAGAACACAACTTACAGTTGCTCTTGCAGATGTCAAAAAAACAAGGCGATTTCTTCTTTTTCAACCTCTATTTTTCCACCCTAGAAAATCCTTTTCTTCCAAACTATCACATAATTCTTCCTAAAATATCTAGGGCAGAATACTGTAAAATGATTCTTTGTAACTCACAAGGTCTAAATGCAACTTTAGTCTGAAACCTACCCAAATGAGGCCTGAAAAAGAAAACATTTGTCTTAAACTTAGGCTTTCTAAATCTTCCCATTACAGTGCACTTTGGAATTTTATTGAAATACTAAAAGAAAAAGTTTAAATTATATTAATATTGAGATATGACTAGCTGCACATTCTGAGAAATTCATTATATATGTGTTAACATATATTTCAAGGCACTATATACCATTTCCACATCTGGAATAACTTCTTAAAATGCTGCTTGTACAGTGACTTGTAAAGAGGATACAACATTTAATACTTACTGCCTCTTTAATCTCACAGGAGAAAACATGAATCTGGAACTCTTCAGTTCCACAGCTGCTTTCAGTAAATGCAAAACAGTCACTCTCTGAAGTCCCATTTTGTCCCCGCACACAAAACAACACCTTATAGATTGGAAAAGAGGCTATCTCCGCATTGCTTGATTGATTTATTATTCTGGCAAGGGAAAGAACAGGGAAGATCAAAGAAAAAGTTCAGTAAAACAAACAGGCCTACCTAAAAGACTGTTCTGCAATTAGATAAATATCTGAACTATAACTGCCTCTAAATTCAAGTACACAAGATGGGCAGTAGGAGCAGAAATGTCAGGCTTTCTAAATTTAAGATGTAAATGTTTCTGGTTGTAACATTGGCTTAATTTTTTTTATACTCCATAATACAGACAAACATAGTACCTCTATATCATGCAATAACAATGACCATCATTGCAATAATTTGTGAAAAACACAAGTAGAAATGTAGAAACCACAGCAACTGTGACAATGCAATTTACATACAAAGATCAAAGCAAATTCAACATTATAAAAGAATTTAAATCTCTGTTTAAGAAAACATTATTTATTCAGAATCTACAGGACTATATAGCTTAGCAAATGCTGGCTGCCATGTTTACATGAATATTAATCACAGATCTAAGGGCTCATACAAAATTTTAAATTCCTCTCAAACTCAGAACTCAATGAATATTTCAGAAACTTTAAAGAAGACAAGAGGGCTGGTAGTCTCAGAATGGACTACTAGACAGTGAGTTTTAAAGAGTAATAGGTAGAGCTACACAGTTCTCCCCTGTCTTTTCTCTCCTTGTCCATATGCACATTCACATCAAGGGTGAATAAACATTCATGACCTGGAATAGAATCCCAAGTCTGTAACAATAAAAAAAAAGGACTAATCTTCTAAAGGCAAGAAAAGCCCAGAGAGGATTCACCACGCTGTAATATTGGTGGGACATGTAAAATGGAACCCCACATGACAAGTATTCAGATACCAGGAAGGGCAAAGATGACACTGGTGTCACTTGAACTTTGATGGAGTGCCTTATGTCACACATGGATTCACCTTTACAGTTCTGTGCAGATTCTTAGGCAGTCCCTTGCTTAATGATGTCCTCTGCAATTAAAGATCAAAGGAACATGGAGTTTCACTTGCAAAACAACCTTCTTGAATGGCCACAATGGCTATGAAAACAGGTACAGCACACCTAACATCTAGTGTCTATGTGACAGTTGCCATCATAAAAGCATGCAGTGTGATTTCCTAATTCAAAAGAAATATTGCTGTAACATCAAGCAAAAACTTTAATTGGGTTCAAAGACCAAAATGGAAGAAAATAATATATGTGCTTGAAGGCCTTTCTGTCTTTCTGCACAACATGATAGTCAATACATCAGCAGAGCACGGGAAAGGAAGGAAGTCTAACCATATCCTTCAGATATCTTGGTATCAGAGTTTAAAAATAAAAATCATAATCTGGAATATTGAGATGCTCCCTACTTCTGGATGGAAGACGGCTACAGGTGCGTCTTTAGTGCACCCTGATTAAGAACCCTTGTCTCTCTCATCGCTAATTAAAAGACCCTTCTCACATGGGACAAGTAAATGTTTTCTAGTATCTAGAAACTATCAGCATATGCATCATGAGGCAGACACAAGTGAGACTTGGCTTTAGCACATCAATGTCTGAAAATAGAAACTAGCATCGCAAGTCCTCAACAAATACGGAAGAGTCTTGAACTGAAACTTAAGCTAACCCAAGGCCAGCAGGACTACTACTGTCTCAACATATTTACCTTGGAGATGATTACAGACTAGGGAGGTTGGGAGAAAACAGGCATTATTAGCTCTCCCTTTCCAGTATATCAGAAACCACTGAACAAGATGCTTGAGAATATTTGGCCCTACAACTAACAAACACGCACTTGCTGGTAATCAATAGAGAGACACTGACCCTCAGAGTAATCCCAGGCCTCATACTTCATCTTCAGGATTCATTGGTTTGAAATGGCTCAAATAATCCTTCATGGTGTAAAGGGCTTTGAGCAAATAACCACAAACAAGTGAATGTGATCATTGATACAGCACTTCCACAGGTAAACCACCTCTCTTTAAAAGGCAAAGTATTTCACTGTACCTGATTACTGACAAGCAGTATTACTACCGTGTTCTTCTATATCATTATCTACAAGCAATGGCATGCACATGTAGACAAAAAGTACGATAACATTTCTCTCTGCTTTAAGCTCCAAGCAGGTACCACAAATTTGCAGGCAGCTTACATGAATGAACGATGTGGACAAAGAGGCATCTCTTATTATCATATCTGGACAGAGATGCAGGTAGAGATATATGCTTTGGTTGACACTGTATGGCAACCGCTACCACCAACCATGCACTGCATGTTAAATTTGAGCGTGCATTTTGTTGCTTCAGAGGAATTTCTCAAAAATAACTTTCTTCAGCAAGAACTTCAGGCACAAATCCAGCAATTCTACTTCGCCGTGTGCGTAACAAAGTCAGAATCCACCTTTTAGGTGTCTGTGCAAGTAACAAAAGAAACATTTGTATGTTACCTTACAGAGCCTTCTGGAATGTTTGGAACATAAAGCGTTACAGGTAAAGGGGCTTGACTTGAGGATTTCATGTTTGCCATGGCATGTAGAGCTTCCAGTTCATTTCGAGGGGCAGACACCTTTGTGCAACCTAAATAAGTCAGTTTGTTAAACAATACGCTGTCCTCTTCCAGGGGTTCACTGGGAGAAGATGCTGTTGGTGCAGAGATTTCTGAAAATGAAGAAACCACTTCTTTAACCATTTATTTCTGTTTTTATTTTTACACATTGTTTTCTGAACGAGTTCCATAGCAAAATCTCCCACTTTTTCTGAGAATAGACACGGGGGTCAAAAGTCCAGCTCCAATAGCAAGAAATCCATTTGGCAGCTTAATGTTAACATTAAGTCTATTCTATTCTAATGCATGTTTCCAAGTATTGCATAGGGATAAATTGCCTTTTGATTCTTTTTAGCAGTGCTAGAATACAATTTTTTCCTTAAGCTACATTCCCCAGATGTTCTTGACTTTAGTTTGCTTATACTCCCTTCCAATTCCTAGTCATCATTTTGCATAAAGATGCTTCTAATTCTCTTCTCTCCCATGTCTTTGCAGCTTGTGTAGAACTATTGAATGTGGTTCACATTCCTGGGGTAGCTATATTAACTGCATTAAACCATCAGGGAGCCAGAGAAAAGAAAAGGGATATCTGTTTGTTCCTCTGCTCAGCAGAAGAGAAGCGTTCTTTTTCCACTGTCACACTACTATGGACAAGGGCGATCTTGAGGGAGCTTTTGGGAGTTTTGCTGTTATTGTTGTCTGGTGGATTTTTTTAAGACATTTTGACATTTGAGAAACGAGAGGAGAGGTGGAAAAAAAATTCATTAAGCATGGAATCAGAGTAATTTAGGTTGGAAAAGACCTCTAGAGGTCATCTAGCTTTAACTCCTGCTCAAAGACAGATCAGGTTAGGTTAAGGCTAGTTTCAAAACTGGATCAGGTTACTCAAGACCCTGTCCAGCTGAGTTTTGGTATCTCCAAAGATGGACACTCCAAACCTCTCTAAGCAATCTGCCCTGTTATTTCTACTTCTTCTTCTTATAGCTAATATTTCCATAATACTTAAATCTTAAAAGTTGCAAAATTGAATTGGGGGGGGGGGGGCGGGGAGGGCCACATCTACACGA